TTTATTGGTTCTCATAGTGATCGAATTATTATAAATTACTAGTTCTCAGAGTTGGTGGCATTAAGGGTGTGGCATGTAATAACCCGCACCGTTAATTAAGGTATTTAATTAATTAATTATGCAAAATTAGGAAATGATTCCATAATTGACCTTAATAATTATTTATGAGGCTTAATAATCGTAATAAGTGATTAAGAATGTTGAAAGTCGCTTTTCGGAAGAAAAGTGCAGATACCGGTTCTGCTAGACGGTATAAATGTGTGCCAAAAAAGTATCCCGGAAAATTAATTTAAGTGCATGATAATTACTAGAATAATATGTAGGACTTGTAAAACGAGTTTCAAGTCCAGATAATGAGAACTGGTGCTGGAAACCGGTACTGGCTTGGAAAAGCGCGTACCGGAAAAGTGCTCAGAAAATTATAAGAAAAATATCATAAATCTTAGAAGATTATGTAGTTTCATAATCCAAAGTTTGGGATTAAAATGCTAAGCGTAGAAATTAAAGTTAATACTGTGTGTCTAAGTGCGTTTGGGTTATATATACTCCTTGTTAAGGGCACAAAGCCCTAGGTTTTCTGTTGCTACGTGAGTCTTGGGGCTGGCCAACTGCTGAGTACTGTTCCATTGTGTTCCTCTTCCATTTCTTGAGCTTTGAGGCAACTTCCTTCTCAAATCCTTCTCCTAAACACTTGGTGTGGGGTGAGAGTAGCTTTGAGGCTGTGTTGTTGACCCTGTTCTGTGTTGGGGTTGCTGTTTGTGAGTGTTGGAGGGGCTGTCCTCTTGAGTTGAGGTGGTGAGAGTCTTGCTCTTGGCTTGTGAAGCTCCAAGGAGCTTCCTTTGTGTGGAAAGGGCCAAGCTTTGGTAGCATTTTCGTGCATCTTCCTTGAGTCAGACTTGAGGGGCTGTGTTGAGCTCCAAGAGCATCTCATTTCTCTGTTTGAAGCCTTTGGTATGTATACCAACCTTTGATCATGAGTTTAATGCTTAAAAATGAAAGGTTGATGCATGTTAAGGCGTAAAGATGATAACTTGTTGTGGGGTAATGTTGAACACACCTAGAAATGCATGTTTAGGTGCTTTAAATCGTTAAAAACCCAACCTTGGAAGGATATCTTCACGAAATGCATTTTCTGCATTCTGTCGTGAAATATCCGGATATGTGCCCGATGAATATCCGGATATGTGATATCCGGATATGGGTTTTGTGTATCCGGATACTAGGTATCCGGATATGGGATTATGGATATCCGGATATTGCATATCCGGATACGTCCAGTGAGATATCCGGATATTGCATATCCGGATATGGTCCCGAGGAATATCCGGATATTCTGGGATTTCATAAAACAGTAGCTGTGTTGTGTGTACAGTAGGCTATTGGGGGTTTGTGGACCCTAGATTGATGAAGTTGAACTTCTGTATTTAATGGATTAAGCCAGAATCATGGGATTAAGGGCTTGTGGCTTTGTTAGAAGCTTTAAGACTTGAAAACGTAATGAAAAGGCGTTGTCTTTAAGTTTTATGCTTGTGTTGCATTATTATTGATATAGTATTGGTCCATAACAGATTGTGAATCTGTTGTGTTTGGACTTTGAGCTGTGGACTCTTGGCTTTTGGAGTTAGCTTGCAAGGTAAGCTTTCGTGTCCTCGGTTTAGCCATGTTGTGGTTCCACCATGTCCCATGGGGGTATGGTTTATGCATGTTGTGTACATGCTTTTGGATATTTGCTATGTTGATTGAACTTTACATGTAATGGCTTTTAATATGCATGTGTTGTTTCATCTTGACGAGAAGCCTGAGTATGTAGCGCTATACAAGATGGTGTACCGGGGTGAATGCAAGTGGTACTTGCACGGTGTGTAGGTGATAGACGTATACCTGCACTGTCTCTGGCCAGTAGATTAGTATTTACACACATGACATGATTATCTGCTGCATTGCATTGTTTTTGAAATGATAAATGATAAACTGCTTTTGAACTTATATTGCACATGTAAGTGAGCTTGGGGTGGAAGATCCTTGAGGACTCACTGACTTACTGAGATTTCTAGATTAGAGATCTTACCCCACGTTTGGGGAATGCTTATTTCAGGATCAGGTAGTATGGGTACTGATGCCTCAGGCGGCGGGAGGCCGGAGCTTAGCTGATTTTGTTGTTTCTGCTTATTTGTTAGCATGACTGGATTTGGATGCTGTTTATGTTTTCCGCTATTTATGATATGATGTTGTTGAGACTGATGTTGGGCATGTTGCCTTATTTGAGTGAGCATGGAGATTGTCCATGACACTTTCTATTAGTACTTGTAGTTTGGAGTTGTATAAACTGTTAGATGGTCCGGTCTACGTTGTTGTAGTTCCGTGACTAGAGCCACACTTATATTATCTATGTTATGAGGTATTTCAGTTAGCTGTTTATTGCAATTACATACAGGCGATGTTTTATTAATTGATTATTAAGCAAGTTGGTAATGTTAATGGCATCATAATTGAAAAGAAAAAGTAATTCCGCATTTTAATTAAGCGCAGCTTAATACGATATTATGATAAAATTACCGGATATATACGGGGTGTTACATTTATGGTATCAGAGCAATGGTTCGAGGGAAAAACCTGTATGTATTGCAATTGCTAGGTTGTTTGGTTGTGTCTGTCTTTGTGTTTACTCCGTCGAATTTTATTATGATGATGTATATGTGATCACATTGCGTGGGCCTGATCAACTCATAATTTGTGTAACTTGTGCGGAGTCATGGTAAGGTCCGGGAGAACACGAGATACTTCTGAGGATCAATCCGATCCTATCCTGACTGCATTGGCTGAGATGCAGGCGGCCAGGTTAGCCGATCAGGAGGCCGCTAGAGTGGCCAACGCGACAATGATGGAAGCTGTTCGCGAGGCGAACCGGATAGCCGCAGCTGAGGTTCGTGAAGCGAACCGGAGGACCACTGAGGAAGTCCTCGAGGCGAACAAGATGGCGAACATGACGATGATGAGAGTTAGCTAGATTGGTGAAATTGAACCACAGTGCGACACGTCAGCAAGGTTTCCACAAAATGGAATTCCTTTATAATATAAGTTATATATAAAAGTTAGCTAAATTTTAAATAATAATAAAAACTTATCTTTTCCAATTTACAAAAATTCAAAAGGAAAGCTATCAGGTTCACGCGTGGGTTTGTGTTGTGTTGTGGAAACAATATTGAAGGAATGAAATATACAACACACACTCTAAATGCATATGAAATATATGGGCTAGTTAATTACTCCATATATGTATATTTCTTAATTTTAATAATCATATTTATTAGAAAAGAACTCCAATATATGTCTGGTTACGTGACAATATGTTATTATCATTATCATTAATTTGAATCTTCTTTAGACTTCTCCTTTGGAATATATAAGTGCGTATTGAACAAACATTAAGGGTGATGTAATGTTGTTTGGTAGGTTTGTCTTTGTTTTTTCTTCCCTAACTCAAGAAATTCCATCAAAACTTTATGCTTAAAAGTATAACATATATTTGACTAGATAGTCATTGGAGACATTCGGGTCGAAATGCAACTGGTTGAGGGTATGAACAAATATTTTTACCTAATTTGCCTAATTATATGAAAACCACAATGTTTTTCCTCTTAACTGATCAAATTATGGAATTGGAGATTGTTGAAAATTAAAATACTTCTCTTACAAATAAGATTTCATTTTGACTAAACCCTTCGAATATCATCAGCTCTATTTTTTTATTTTTTTATTTACTTTTTATTTACTTTTTTAGGATTATTATATTCTGTTGGCTTTATAATATGTTGGGTTCAAAATATTTTTTTCCCATTTTTAAATAGAGAATGATCTTTTAGTTTTGATATTTTATTTAATGGTATTATTTCATAACGGTATTATTTAAAAAAATTTACGAGATAGACAAACTGATTTTTTTTCCATGTGCACTGCACGGGCAATACACTAATATATATATATATATATATATATATATATATATATATATAGAGAGAGAGAGAGAGAGAGAGAGAGAGAGAGAAATAGTGACACATTTTTTTTTAGAGATTAATCAATGACGGTCACCGACAAAAATTTTAATCTTTTTCATCTATGCATCGCACGGGTAATGCACTAGTAATTTATAATAATTTGATCACCCTGAGAACTGATAAAATAAAATATTGAAATAATTTCCATTGAGATAAAAAAAAACAAAAATTGCTGAAATGAAACACTTCTCTCTGTCTTTTCTTCCTGCTGAAATGTGGAAATAAAACAATTATTGTATAAACAGAAGAACAAATTAAACTTATACAAGAAAGTTAGCTTGCAATCCACTGTCATTATTCATACATATTTATATTATTTTTTATTAACCAAAATTCAGTTATCACTTTTAGTCTTTAGATTACTACATTTGACATTGTATCTTAATGTCTGTTGCTCTTTGGCCCATACGCAAGTGATTTTTAAACTCTATTTTTTAGGTGAAATTCAAAGTCAAATATTAATTCTGAATTTTATTTTCTCAAATTTGAAAGTCAATTATATGAAAATCACCTAACATCACATTAATTCTCCCACGTTGGGACTTTTTTATTACTTTCTTATTGCCCTTAATTTTGCGAACTCATCATTGGCATACAGAATATATGGACACAAGGTGGAAGTAAATAAGAATAAAATAATCACATATCACAAAATTTGTATTATTTTTAAGAATTAATTATGATACCATGATTGAAGTTTCGTTTCCTTATTTGACTCCCTTTCTGCTGTAATTAGGCATTTTCCTTTTATATACATTTGATTTTTTATTTTATTTTATTTTCCCTCCACAGCATATGGAAATTTGTCTTTAAATACGGATTCATCTTTGCAGGTTTCAATCAAATGCAAAAAAGTTGTGACTTGTCAGGGCTTGTGTGAGGGCTATTCCTTTTCCTTCTTGAAGCACTCCACAAGACCTGATCTTTTTTCTTTGATCCATCATGATGAATCTTCGTTGGTGTTTCTTAACTTATCTCTTTCTCTTGGTGGGGTTGAAAGTAGATCTAGCTAATGCTCAGATTTACAGAAAAGTTGGAAAAAAAATCCTCCCTTATTCCAAAATAGTTGTGGATCAAACAGGGCATGGAAACTTCTCTACCATACAATCTGCTATTGATTCAATCCCTTCCAACAACAGACATTGGGTCAACATCAAAGTGAATGAAGGTACCTACAGGTAAATATTCTCCTCTATGAATTTCATATGAAATCATGCACTATATTTTTATTTTTTTCAGTTGTAAACTTTAAAATTGTCCTAGAAAAACATAATATAATCAATTAAGGTATGATAAAAAAATTTAATTGGCTTTGATTTAAAATTTTATTAGAAGATATAAACCAATCATGTATGAAAGATTATTGTGATTGTCAACAATTCAATGCCTCAAATCTCAATGAACTGATCAAAAAACATGTTTTATTTTGTGTTTGTTTCAGAGAAAAAGTGAAGATTCCTCTGGATAAGCCTTACATTATACTAACAGGAGATGGAAAGAGGAGAACTTTAGTTGACTGGGATGACCATACGGCAACCGATCAGAGTCCTACATTCTCAATCATGGCTGACAATATTGTTGTCAAATCCATGAGCTTTAGGGTAAGAATTGCTCTACTTGCTGCTTCCTTTAAACCTTTTATGTTTGCTTTCAATTGACAATGCTCAATGCTCTAAAAGCTTCGTGATGATAATGATGCATTAATTTTTGTTTTAAATTATAAACAATGTTATTTTTTATTTCTTGTATATTCCACCACAACTTTAACCCTATATGTTTTGGTAATGCATGTGTGTACATGAAGAGTGTGTTTGGTTGCCCTTTTTTCACATTTTTTTTCTCGTCCCCCATTCTAGTGTCAAACTCAAACTAAGAATGGATTAAGAACTAGAATTATTTGACTAAGATATAGTGTTTTGGTCTTTAGTGTTTGGTGGAGTTAGTTCAAAACCCATTCATAAAAAAGAAAGAAGAAGAACAAAATACAAAATACCCCAACATAAATAAATTTCCAACCAACCGAAAATTAATGTGTAAATTACAAACGACTGCTTATGATGCTAAAAACTTGGGGTTTTTTTTTAAACTACAATTGATCCAGGGTTCATCTACTTATGGATGGTAAATTTTACCTCGTTGAATGTCTAAAAGACAACACAGATTGTACCTGCAAATTAAGCCATTGTAAATCTCCGTATATATATATATATATATATGTTATACTCTTTTTTATAAATATTAAATAAATTTCCATATCAAAATTTGTAATATTTGTAAAAAGAAAGAAACACAAAATTTCCACATGTTAAAATTTTGTAAAATTTCAACAAAAGATCCATTACCCGTGATCACGTGTCCGTACATTATTATTAAGGAAACTTTCAATTTAATTGACTGTTTTCATTAACTGATTTTAATGAAATTAAAATCTTATGTGTCTCTACATTACTATTAAGAAATCTTCCAAATTTGTTAATCTTTGTTTGTTCTTAATCTGTGTTTAGTTTTCTATTCTTTATTTTTTGTGGGGTTGAATCTATGTTAATTTTTGTAGCCCTTTTCATAAACCCAAAAAAATATTGAGTTTTGATAGAGTTCTAAAATTTGTCTCTTAATGTGGACCAGAATTCATACAACAATCCAATGAATAGTAATCCTGTAACACCTGCCGTAGCTGCGATGGTAATGGGCGACAAGTGTTACTTTTTTAGAGTTGGTTTCTTTGGTATGCAAGACACTTTGTGGGACCAATTGGGAAGACATTACTACAAGCTTTGTACTATACAAGGTGCTGTTGATTTTATCTTTGGTGCAGGCCATGCTTTATTTGAGGTAATACTAAAGCTATTTATTTTTCTCTTGTTCATGTTTTATGCCTATGAACAAAATTAATTAATAGCATTTGTGTGCACGTTAAGATTTGAGTAATTAATTATTTTGAATATTATAAGCATTAGCAAAACCATGATCTATAGTATAACTCATTTATTTATTTGTTTTTGTAGAGTTGTGTCATATCTGTTATTGATGGGGCACTAGGTCCAGGTTTGCCTGGTTATATCACAGCACAAGGGAGATCAAGTCCAAAAGATTCAAATGGTTTTGTTTTCAAAGATTGTAAGGTGTTTGGAAGTGGGTCAATTTACTTGGGAAGGCCATGGAGAGATTACTCTAGAGTTCTCTTCTACAATACCTATATGTCCTCCATTGTACAACCTATTGGTTGGGATGCATGGTTTTCCGCTGGACACGAGTAAGTTCACTTTTTCTTACTCTTGTTTTCTCAACAAAAACTTAGTTATGTGACTACATTAATTCATGTTCAACATATATAATAATGCTAGTTTAATATGTATAATTAACATAAAACTTTCTACTAGAAACGCTTGAATTGTAAGGATATTTTATCCCATTTTTAGAAGAAAAAAAATAGAGGTGTTTTATTGGAAATCGATCATCTCATGTGTCATTTAACATGATCATATTATGTGGGAGAATCTTAACCATCAATTAAAAAATCAAATGTGAAAATTTTGTAACTTATTCATATATTTTTTCTCTATCATCTTTTATCACCGTTAATTTATTTTTAAGATACTCTCATATAATATAATCATATTAAATAACAGCTGAGGATTTATTCTGGTTTTTATATTATGAATAAAACTTGTCATACCAAAAGAAAAAACACCTTAAGGGGGCGTTTGGTCGGAGGTATCTTATCAGATAGATAGAATTCTGATAAGTGGGAAAGATGAATCACCATGTTTGGTTGAAGATTTTCAAAAATTTCTCCAGCGAAATCAGTTCCCCATCCATCAAGTTTGCATGTCAATTTGGCTTAAATGCAAGGCAACCGATTCCCATCTGAGATGTGGTATTTGAGGATATCTACCTAAATGAAGAAATGAATGATTAACCACATGACCACCATACCCTCAACTTGGAGCCCAAATCACATCTGAAGGAAGGTGACAGCTGTACATACACGACCACTCTCCGCACCGGCACCGGATACCAGCAACTGAACGACGTTGTCACACCACCACCAGCAACCAAAACAGAACCAAACACTGAAACAGAGCACAATAGGCAAAGACAAACCAATAACCACCCACCCAGATCAAAACAGTAACAGATTGAAGGAGAAAGAGTTCAGCCACAACCCAGATTAGCCACAGTCAAACCAACCCAAGCAGGACCTAGTCAAACCACCCACAAATTGAAGTTGCCCCAAGCACGGACCATTGCATTAGGGTTCAGATGAGAGAATGAGGTACAATGGGATGTTCCAGATGAGGTTGAATAAGAGAAAGAGATCAAATGGGGTGTTTAGGATTTTGGTAGGCTTGATTTTTTTTTTCCCCTGAGAAATTGATTGCTCTGCCACTTGGATGGTGGCTGTGCAAAATTAGCTGATCCCTATAATCCTACCCCAATCACATCTTGAAGCGGCGTGGAAGGTGAAGGAAGGGTAAAGGGTAGGTGATTTAAAAAAATGTAAAAAGAGGGATATTTTTGTAATTGTAACACATTTCCCCATCTATATTTTATCTCACACCAAACATAGACTTTTATAATCTTATCTAATTTGTCCAGTAAATTTTTTTTCAACCAAACAACTTTTTTTACATTTTCCTACCAAACTCAATTTTCAACCATTTCCCTATCAATTACATTTTTCCAGTATTCAAAAAATTTATCCTCAACCAAACACCCCCTAATACATCTTTGTTTGGAAATGCTTAACATTATTTTCAATAAAAAAAAGTTCAATAATTTTTTTTTCCTTAAGAATACAACATGTCGACGTTTTGTTTGTTTGTTTGTTTTTTTTTCCCTTTTGTATGTCTTTTAATTTCTTTGCTAGGGGATTCATTTTTTGATATAAAAAATTGCAGGGATCGCATAACGTTTGCTGAGTATGGCAATTTTGGACCTGGTGCTAATACATCCAAGCGAGCGAATTGGGCTAAGAAGTTGGGTTTATCAACAGTTAAGGAGTTGGCAAGTTTGAAATTCATTGACACTGAAGGATGGGTTGACAGATTAAGAATCATTGGTAGGGTTCCGAATAAATAAAAAAGAAAATTAAGAGTATCTTAAGCTGAAATAGCATGAGAAGAACCACGGTAGTTTGTGTTCATAACTATTGATTTCTTTCATTTAGTAATTTGTTTAACTCTTTTGGGTGTGATTCATTGATGAATTGGTCATTGGAGACTCTTATATTCCAATTACTCATTTATTTTTATTTAATAAGTTCTTTTGCTCTTTTTCTTTGTGATATCCATTTATGAGTTGTTTAGTTGAAGTTAGAGATTTTCTTTTCCCAATTACTCATTGGAGCATTAACCAAAACTTCCTCTTGTGTAAGGTCTATGTTTTTAGTGGCCTTTTGACGCGTGGTCCAAAACTCCACCCTAAACCAAAGCAATTTTTTGTTAAAAATTCAAATACTTCAGTGTGAGTTGAATCCCAATTATAATTCTTTTCCCACACTACCAATTCAGTTCAAATAACTTTTGTTTTTATGTAGTTCAAACGGTTTTATTAACATTTTTTAGCTATTCTTAATTGAGGTTAAGGAATAATTAATTTTCTTATTATTGATTTTTGAAGTGATCACTAAGAAATTAATTTTCTTAATTGAGGTCGCAAGTCGACACAATACAAAAAATTTACCAAAAAAATCTGAAATTGACACTATACCGAGGGTTGATACAACATAACACGACTGACGAATAGAATTTTATAATGTGAATTACTAAAAATATCTCAAATATTGGTTGGCACTTTGGTCGTGCATGCGAGTTAACCCGTGACACGATATAACACTAATTCGTATCAAAAAATAGAACTCGCACAATCCGTTTAAACACGTAAGTCAACACGACACGTTTGGCTTATCTGATCACTGGTCATAAACTGATTTGCCACCCTTAACTATATGAGATGTGCCGGGGATCCAAAATGGAGGATAATGTTAGGTGGATATGGCATTGGTGAATAACCATTTTTACATTTCAAATGATATTTTGTTTTGGTGCAATTTTTGTTTAGATATACACTCGGACTAACAAGGAAATTTACTAAGTCTAATAATTGTTGTGACAAATTATTTATCTATATAAACCTTGTTTTCCCGTTATATTGCCTCATAGTAACATATGGTCATGTAACCAGTCATATTCTGGAGTTCTTTTCTGATAAATATGATTATTGACGTACATCAAAACATATTGCAATGGCGCGTCGCTCCTTTGTGCATATTTGTATAAGTTAGCGACAACAAAACAATTTTTTTATGTGCATTAGTTAATAGGGTGTGTCTTGTGTTGTATATTCTTAATTTCAATAACATTTTTTGCGAGAGACGTGTGTTTGAGTTTTGTATATCTCATCCCTTCAATAAGATTTTGAGTAAAACCGCATTTCAGTAACCCTATTAGGCAGGAACTAAAATATTTAAAATTTAGTTATTAAAAAATAAATTGATAAAATTAATTTTAAATAACTAAATTAATAAAAAAATTAAAAGTTAAAATATAATTTTTCTATAAACCTATAAATGCTACCCTGTGTATGTGTGTACACATCAGGCTTTTGGACAATATTTATAATACAATTTGAAAAAATAATTATTAAAACAGTTAATATAGTTTAAAAACTATTTATCACAATCTGATCTCGTTGGCCCCATCAGCTAGGTCCATTTTATATTTCTGTCATTTTATGGGTAATTGATTTTATGTTTAGGGATGATAATTAATTTTATATTTATGAGATCAATTGTGGGTGATTCATTTTATATTTATAGGTGATTGATTTTGTAATTAAGTAAAAAAAAGTAGGTTTTTCTAAATATTTGAGTATGAAAAAAAAAATGTGTTTTTTATTTGATTACAGTGGCCAAAGTTGAATTTCCTACGAGGTTGTTGGCATCTCTGTTGATTTTATACCCAGTGTTGTTGCCAACTTGCCATGTTATAATTTCTAATCCCGAACAATATCTAATTTGTTTATTTTTTTTTGGATAAACCCCAAATATCATCTGTCGTGTGTCCTTACACATGTTTGTGTCCTTACATATATTCCGTTTTTATTTCCCGCAGAATATGTTTTCGGTTTAAATTCCATCATTAATTTTGATGAAAAAATTTTCATCGATAAATTGAGAATATATATATATATATATTAGCATAACAGCTCAGCTAGCGGTTGTATCATCTGTAATGTACACACACTGCACTTGATCCCTCTCCCCATGCAGTTAGAGTTTGTTAGTCAAGTTTGTTAGTCAGTAGAGTTAGTTACTTGCTGAGTCATCTCTTGAACTCTATAAATAGTCTTCTGTAACACAGTTTACAAGTATGATAGAATCTCTCCTTCTCAAATGAACTCTCCCTTCTCTCTTTCGTCCCGCTGCTCAAGTTCTTTTATGGTATCAGAGCCTTCTCCTTGAAGGCCTGATCCATATAGAACCTCATCATGTCTTCCGCAACTCATACTGAATCACCACAAACAAATTAGAAATCGCCTTCAGAAGCAAGCCAAAACACAAATATGGAGAATCGTGCAACAGAGATCAAAGCTCCACAATTATTCAATCAGCAGATCACAGTGAAGTTAACAGAGGAGAATTATCTTTTCTGGAATCAAATTGTAGAACCGATTATCACCTCTCATCAAATGCATCGCTTCCTGGTAAATCCTAAAATACCTCTTCAGTTTCTGTCAGAAGAAGATCTGATGAATGGAATCCAGAATCCAGCATATGTAGATTGGATAACTCAAGATTCGATGCTCCTCTCTTGGCTTCTGTCAACAATTTCTGAATCAGTGGTTAATGAAATTCTTGGTGTGAAGTATTCATACGAAGCATGGAGCAAGATTCACAGGCTCTTTCAAGGTATGATGAAGTCAAAAGCGAGGTTACTTCGGTCAGAACTTCATTCAATCAAAAAAGGCTCAAAGGGTGAAGGAGTTCCTGTCACGTATTAAAGGTATTTGTGACTCACTTAAGGCTATAGGAAATCCAGTAAGTGATGAGGAACGAACTGATATTATCCTTGGAGGATTACCAGGCGAGTATGTAGCTTTTATTGCAACTGTTAATGGTAGAGAGAATCCGTATACTATCGAAGATCTAGGAATACAACTTCTAACACATGAACAAATCCTTGCAAAGCAAACTGAGTCACTGATCACAGAGAATGCAACTGTCAATCTCACACTTCAGAACCACACAGCAGAAAAACAGAATGACACAGATAAAAACAGAACCAGTGACACCTCATTTGCTCCTACTGCACGTAATCAGGATCAAATCACAGGATACAATATATCCAATGCCAGTTATGGAGGTCGTTTCTATAGTCCTAGAAGAGGAAGAGGACGTTATGGAGGTCGTTTTAACCGAGGAAGAGGACGTGGAGAGCGTACCAATGTTCAATGCCAATTATGTTATAAGTTTGGTCATGATGTACATTCATGTTGGCACCGGTTTGATGAGAACTTCACACCTATTGCTCCTTCAAACAACACTGCTCAGTATTTTTCACCACAGTACTCTCAATATCCGAACAGTCAATCTCAACAGAATCGTGTATTTCATTACACTCGCGGCCAGAATAATCAACCTCATGCCATGATTGCTGCTCAACCTGGAATTTTGCCTACACCAACGACTGTTCCAGCACTTGATTGGTATCCAGATTCTGGTGCAACACACCATGTGACCTCCAATCCTCTCAACCTCATCCAAAGTCAGCAACTCAATGGTTCAGACCAAATCATGATTGGGAATGGTCAAGGTTTGGCAGTAACAGCTGTTGGTTCATCACTAGTTCCCTCTCCTTTTCACACTAACACACATTTACAGCTTAAAAATCTGTTAGTTGTGCCTTCGATCATGAAAAACCTTGTCAGTGTAAGTAAATTTGCACAAGACAATTCTGTGTACTTTGAATTTCACCCTACCTTTTGTCTTGTCAAATCTCAGGAATCTCATCAAGTCTTACTTGAAGGACAAGTTGATTCAAGTAGACTCTACAAATTTAATGACTTTCATCTTCATCAAGACCTCACTCGTGCCTCACAAATTGGTTCCAGTCATTCATTCAGTTCTCAAGTTTCATCAAATCCTGCAATCTCATTTTGCAATACAATTTCTGCAACTACTGCATTACCTGATTGTAATAATGTACACACAAATACTCCTCAGTCTCCTGAGATAGGTAGTTCCATGTTGTCAATGTGGCATTGTCGCCTTGGTCATCCACATAAGGATGCACTAAAGTCTGTACTCCATACATGCAATATACCTATTGTTAATAATAAAGCTCTTGAGTATTTCTGTTCTGCATGCTGTATTGGGAAAGCCCATCGATTACCTTCTTCACCTTCTACCACTGTGTATCATCAACCGTTTGAACTCATATACAGTGATTTGTGGGGACCTGCCCCGGTTAAGTCTATGATGGGGTATCTTTATTACATATCATTTGTTGATGCACATACAAGGTTCACATGGATATACCCCTTAAAATCAAAATCAGAAGCTCTACCTACCTTTCAAAATTTTCATTCTCTCATCAAAACACAGTTTAATATGCCAATAAAGTCCATCCAAACAGATTGGGGTGGGGAATTTCGATCATTTAAACAGTTCCTTCTCATACATGGTATCAACCATAGGGTAGCATGTCCTCACACTCACCATCAAAATGGTGTAGTTGAGAGAAAGCATCGCCACATTGTTGAAACAGGATTGACCATGCTGTCTCATGCATCTCTCCCATTAAAATATTGGGACTATGCCTTTATTTCTGTCGTGTACTTGATCAATCGGTTGCCCACTGCTGCCTTAGACTTTGCTGTTCCTTTCACTCGGCTATATCACACTGCACCTGATTACAAATTCCTTAAGGTGTTTGGCTGTGCCTGTTTTCCCTTTCTTCGACCTTTTAACAAGCACAAATTAGATTTTCGCTCCCAAGAGTGTTTGTTTCTTGGCTATGCTACAAATCATAAAGGATACCTATGTCAAGGGGCTGATGGTCGTGTATACATTTCCAAGGATGTTTTGTTTCATGAGAATAAGTTTCCTTTTCCCTTATGGCACATCAGCACCAGCCCTCAACCTTCTTCCACTCCTCCCTCATTTCCACTTTCTGTCTTGCCTCGATACAATATGCATCATTCATCATCAGCTGCCACTACTACTAGCTCATCCCTTGAATCGAAACAGCTTTCCACTCCTCCTGCTACTTCATCTTTGCAGGTTCCTGAGTCTCCTCCCATTGAGTGTCATATTGATTCTTCTGCAGTTTCCCCCTCTACTCCTGTCATGACTATTGTACCTTTTGTCTCCGCAGCAAATCAATCCACTGTTGTCACTTCTGTGTCTCCTTCCTCCTCCTCTGTTACACCACTTCCTCCTTCCTCCTCTGACTATCAACCTTCAGTCTCAGTTAGTTCTCCTCCTTCTTCCCACTCTATAATTACCAGGTCCAAAGCCTTAGCTCGGTCTCTTGTTTTACTCACCCACATGGAACCTTATTCTATTAAACAAGCCTTGACTAGTCCCCAATGGCTTAATGCCATGCAAACAGAATTTCGTGCACTTCAGGCTAACAACACCTGGTCTCTTGTTCCCCTTCCTTCTCACAGGAAAGCCATTGGTTGCAAATGGATCTTCAAAGTTAAAGAGAATTCTGATGGCACTATAAACAGGTACAAAGCTCGTCTTGTTGCAAAGGGATTTCACCAACAAGAGGGCTTCGACTATACAGAAACGTTTTCTCCTGTGGTTCGTCCTGTGACAATTCGCATCATGCTCACCTTGGCCCTTACCTATGGTTGGCAGTTGAGGCAATTGGATGTCAACAATGCATTCCTTAATGGTGACTTAGTCGAAGATGTATACATGACTCAACCACCAGGTTTTGAGGTTGCTGACAGGTCCTTGGTGTGCAAACTCCACAAGGCTTTATATGGTCTCAAACAAGCCCCAAGAGCTTGGTTTGACAAGCTAAAAACTGCTCTCACTCATCTTGGCTTTCACAGTAGTAGGTGTGATCCTTCTCTGTTTACTCTTCATCGTGGTCACACCTCCACTTATGTGCTTGTATATGTGGATGATATCACAGTTACAGGGAATGATGCTGCCTTTATTAATCGTTTGGTTTCTGACTTGAATGACAATTTTGCTCTCAAAGATCTTGGACCCTTGTCTTATTTTTTGGGGATTGAAGTCAAGAAACATCCCACAGGTTCCATTTCTCTCTCACAATCCAAATACATCAGAGAACTCTTAGCTCGTGCTCACATGTCAGATGCCAAAAGCATGCCTTCTCCCATGAGCACCAGTTGCAAGTTAACAAAACATGGCTCAACCTATTATGACAATCCGTTTCAGTACAGGTCCATCGTTGGTGCCTTACAGTATGCCACGATCACACGTCCAGAGATTAGTTTTGCTGTAAATAAGGTGTGCCAATTTATGTCTCAACCTTTGGTTGATCATTGGAGTGCGGTTAAACTGATATTGAGATATCTTCAAGGCACCATCTCCTATGGTCTTCTACTGCAACCAGCCTCTTCACCATTGCGTTTACCTCTTGTAGCGTTTTGTGATGCTGATTGGGCAAGTGACCCTGATGATAGGCGCTCAACTTCGGGAGCATGCCTCTTTCTTGGTCCAAATCTCATCTCATGGTGGTCTAAGAAGCAACACTTGGTTGCCAGGTCTACTACCGAAGCTGAGTATCGCAGCTTGGCTCTTGCTTCCTCTGAAATATTATGGGTTCAATCACTTCTCCAGGAGCTTCATGTTCCCATCACAGTTCCTCACATCTATTGTGACAATCTTAGCACCGTGGCGTTAACTCATAATCCCATTTTGCATTCAAGAACTAAGCATATGGAGTTGGACATCTTCTTTGTTCGTGAACGTGTATTGTCTAAGTCACTTCATGTTTCTCATGTACCAGCTTCTGCTCAACTTGCTGACACTCTCACCAAGCCTCTTCCAGCTCCTCGGTTTACTGAATTACGTGACAAACTCAGTGTTCAGGATACACTTCAACTCCCTCACAGCTGAGTTTGAGGGGGGCTATTAGCATAACAGCTCAGCTAGCGGTTGTATCATCTGTAACGTACTCACACTGCACTTGATCCCTCTCCCCATGCAGTTAGAGTTTGTTAGTCAAGTTTGTTAGTCAGTAGAGTTAGTTACTTGCTGAGTCATCTCTTGAACTCTATAAATAGTCTTCTGTAACACAGTTTACAAGTATGATAGAATCTCTCCTTCTCAAAAGAACTCTCCCTTCTCTCTTTCGTCCCGCTGCTCAAGTTCTTTTAATATATATATATATATATATATATATATATATATATATATAAAGGTTAATTGTTTAGTCGCAAGACTTAATATTATGTTCTGTCACCTAAACATTAGGTCATTTTAAGTAAGAAAAAAATTGTGTCATTCGCATTCAAAGTTTCCATCAAATAATAGTTCCTTGAAAGATTAAAATGAAAAAAAATAACACTTCCACACACACCCACACACACTTGTGTATCACTCTATTACTAATAAATTAATCCCATAAATAAAATAATAATAATCACATAGATGGAATCAATAATTGTAAATACAAAATTAATCACCATTAATTCATTACAGAAACAATCATCTATAATGACTCATATCCATAATTAATACTAAAATTATCCATGATTGACATCCATAATCGATTGAGATGTAATTCCTACACCTCTACACCTCTGCCCTCACTAAAGAAGATTTACTTAATTTTTATCATATTAATTAATTGTTTTTCGTTATTTATACAAACAGATTTAGTTGTAATTCCTATTAACCAAATGTATCACAATAATAATTAAGCATATCAATTGGAAATAAGATTAAATTTAACGCTAACCGCGGCGACTGCTGTTTGGATGATAACATTGTTGTCGACTTGTCGTTGTTGGATGTGTAAATATTTCTTTCACACAATTTTTTTCCTTTGTTCTTGTCGTTTTTTATTTACTAATTTGATCATTTCTTAATATCATATATATATATATATATAAGAAAAATATTTCTCAAGCTGCTTGACATATATTTATTTCCGATTAAAACTACGTCGTTTTATTTATTTATTTTCTTATTTTAATTGATTCACCTTTGAATGGTTATGATTTTTTTTTTCTCTCTTTCTTTATCACTATTGATTCATCTTTGTACGGTGATGATTTAGTAGCCGTATATATGTATATATGGAGTTTATACTTCTCATGCAACATAAGATGAGCCTTCTCATGCTACACTCACATTGTTTTACGTGCCAATAATTTTAATTTTTTTATTTAATTTTTTTCAATGGGGCCCACCTAATTATGTGTGAGCTGCAAAAATTCTAATCTTATGTTACATAAAAAGTATAAACTCCATGTATATATATATATATATATATATATATATATATATATATATATATATATATATGTATATATAGCCCAATATGACGTCGTTTTAGGACAGAAATCATGGTATTTTGTAATTTTGATTTATTTCAGGTTTATAATAGTCTTTATATTTATAACTTTTTAAGATTCCAATACCAAAACGACGTCGTTTTGG